GAATTAATAATTTCATATTGCCATAGAAACACAAGGTCATAAATTGAACACCGTCTAAATTACTGGATGGATAGTGATGATAAAAAGATAGTGAGACCCACTTGTCATTTTGAGGTGGTCCTACTCTCTATCAATCCATATTTGTCCCTTGTTTCTCTCTCTCCTCCCTACTCTTTTGGTTTAATTCTCTCTCCCCCTGCTCTGTTTTGGGTAAAACCTCTCCCCCCTGTGCTCTGTTTTGGGTGTACTCTCTCTCCCCCCTGTGCTCTGTTTGGGTAAACTCTCTTCCCCTGTGCGGTGATATCTATCTGTTGCAGTGTTGTGGGTAAATCCTCTCTCTCCCCCCACGTCACCATGTTTCCCCTTAGAAAATAGCATGAATCTGTTCAGTGTTCGCCAACCGGCCGGGTTGAACTCGAATCGGCTCGTGGTCGGTCTGGTTTTAGCTGGTTTTTGTAGTGAAGTTCCAAGATGTTGAAATATTTTAAAAAATAATTATTAAAATCCAAACAATTAGAAACTTATTTGTAATTTATTTTCTAATGTTTTTTATCTTTTTAGAAAAGATTGGAAAGTGTTTGGACCACAAATATTAACTTTTTACATTTTTCCTTTTTTTTTGGATTATTTTTAAAATACTCTTGAATTATTTAAAAAATACCCCAGCCTTTTTCAAAATCCATTTTTTCCAATACTTTTTTTAACTTTATTTAATTGTGTTTCGTTTAGGTTTATTCTAAACATATTGTTCATATTTTTTAATCAATTTCATATTTTATATTTTTAAATAAATTTTTGGCGCGGCTAAAAACTGCCCAGTTTTCCGGCTTACCCATAACTGGTTTCCGGCTTACCCATAACTTTTCATGGAACTTTCGTTAGTTTCTCTGCTCAATAATGGATAGAACATTTTTGCATCTTTCTTTACTTTCCATTTAAACAACAAAAAATAGGATTTGTTAGTCAATAAATAGTTATTTGCTCTATTCAATAATAAATTAGGAAACTACGCCCCACATATGGCAGAGGGAAAGTTAAACTACGCCCTAACATATAGCAGAGGGAAAGCTTGTCGCATAGCGTATGGGGTGTATAGACCATTTCCACCGTCCCTTCTAATCAATGATGGCCGAGATGATTATCTGGACTCGTCTTGGGCATCGGACTCTGGCGTGGTCCGAGCATGAATAACACGACATGGAGTAACACAAAGGGTGAGAAAACCTTAAAACTGTATTAAAAAAAAAAATGGTACAAAATAAAATAAAACTCATAAAAGTGAAACAACACGAAAAAATAAAATAAAAATCCAGATAATCTGAAAAATATAAAAACTATAGATTTACAAAAAAAATTCGTTTGTAATAAGATGAAAAATCCATGCCAAGCCCGTCTCAAGCCCCGATAAAAAGGGTGGATTATGTTAAATAGACAGCCAACGGAAAATTTTATCAAAACTTCGCATGAATATGAAAATCCAAAAAAGAAAAATACAAAAATAAGAAATTTTTAAATAAGAAATACTCATATATCATTATAAAAAATCCACATTTTATATATAATTTTAATGCATTGATCCCACAAGTTTAGACAAATTTTTATTTTATTTTTAATATGCCGGAGTAGTACCCGGATACTCGGCTTAGCCAGGGCCTAAGCCTGAGTAAATCGGTCTGATAGTTAAATACTGATATGCATAGTGTGTACTGTACATTGTGGACATGTCTGACTTTGGCAAGTCCAACAACAAGGATTGAAGGTCATAGTGACCATAGTCCTCATGACCAAGAAGATCCATAGTCATCGGTGTAGATCAAAACCCCCGTGGTGGAGCCAGCATAGAATCGACCATAAGAGTCGTCATATTTGTGGGTTACTCACTCTAGTCGCATCCGATTATTGAATAGATGGTGTTCAAATCACCAATTATAACTAGATTTTGTTTTTTTAGTAGTTACCTATATAAATAGTATGAGCACTAAATTTTTGTATTAAAATGAAAATTGAAGTACAAGATTGTTGTATTACAATAAAATTGCATGTTGGCTTTTAAGGTACCTTTTTATTTTTTTCTTTTTGAGTTGAGTAAAACCATTGAGCTGATAATTTCACAAATTGAATTCATCTAACAAAACTTCATATTTATCTTTATGAATTGCTTGCTTTATTCTAAATACATTACATAAAATATTAATAAAAAACTAAATGAAGAGTATATCTATGTTTTGTAGAGGAAAATCTTTATCTTGAAGAAGAAAGACGAGGGTGTGGAATATTTGAAGAAAGCAGTAAAATTGGGTCACCGAATCATATATGCATTGGGCTTGATACTCATCAATGAGGGCAAATTTTTGGAAGGTATCATGGAAAAGATTGAGCACTAAATTTCAGACTGTCGAAGGAGCATAAAATCCATTCTCAAATCCATATGGGTCAACCATAAGCTACAGTTATATATGCAACAATGAGAAATGCCAAAATCCGAGACTCATGGGTGGAATAGCAGAGGACTACGATGAATAATGTTGCTCCTCTAAATACAAGTGGACGCGTGAAGCGATTTTGTTATTAGTGAAAAACTTTAAATGCTGGTGGACGCGTGAGGTCGAACGATTTTGTTATTAATGGGAAACTTTAAGTTAGATTATTAGGAATGATCCAAGGTGGGCTTGGTGCATTATATTCCTTTAAAATATTTTGTAATTCTTTCCTATTGAGAATTAAATTTGTTGAGTGATTTCTTTTACTTTCATGTTGATTTTCTATTGGTAAAGCGTATGTATTTCCGCTTCGTCTAAATATTGTATAAATCAAATTACACCTTTTCTGCCTCCTCTAATTTCCTTACCCCTTATACGTTTAATAGCAAAACATAATTCCCTGGATTCCAAGGCTCAATTTCAGCTAGTTTTTTAGCTTCATATTTTGCAAGCGCATGTCTCCATAAATTCTACAAGCATTTAGAAAGGCTCAAAAAATGGCAGCATTTAGCTTGATAGGAATGACTTTAATGAGCTCATGAGCCTTCTCTAGACACCCAAAAGATCAACTATGAACCCATAATACTCTTGCCTAAATCCCGGGTTCTTAAGCATAATATAAAATATTAACCAATATCTTCTTAAGCATAATATTAAACGAGGTCTGACCTATTTGTGGCGTTTTTATGTTCTGTAGTATATAAAACAAAGTCCGGCTTGGACCTATTTTTAGCATTTTTTTGAGAGGCTAATACAATTGTAATCCTCCTCGTTAAGGAGGTAGCATATTTGGCACAAGCTATAGCTTGGCGAACTCCTCCCCCATATTTTCTTACTACTCTCATGTTTTTTTGTTCTACCGGCACTCCCTATGAGAAGGCTGTATCTTGATAATATTTTTAACTAACTTTTGGTAATCGTTTTCTATATATACTAGTAAAACGGAACTGGTAGAGACTTGTCATCCCTACTGATTTACCCAAAAAAAAAAAAAACAAAAAGGTTAGAATTTCGTGAAGCGTTAACATTAAAAACAACAATAAATATATATATATATAGAAGGAGAGCCCACACGGTTGTATGATAGGCGAGGGTTGGAGGAGTTCTCCTTATCTGTATGTTCGCTGCTACAATAACCATTAACAAGCACTTACACATATTGAAATAATTGAAATAATCAGTAGTTTACATAT